TCTGACTTATCACTCTCTCTATCACCAATATATCACCATTCCCAAGCTGACTTTTATATATCAAAGACAATGGCAACTTAAATAGGCACTTTTCTAGCCAATCTGCAGCCCTGCTTGGCCATAGCATTAGCTACAAGTGTAACCCTATTTTTAATTTATTTCTAAAAAATTATCTAGCCACCTGAAACCAGTCAGACCTAGGCAACGTTAGAGGGTTTCACAAGATACAAATCCAAAATTAATTTATGATTAGACTGATTATAAGCCATCAACTCCTAACAACCACATAGATACATTTTCTGCCCAATGATCTGTCCTTCACCTGGTGCTTCGGATCTTCCAACATTAATGAAACTATAACACTAAAAATGATTAAATTGAGAGGCAATGGTTTCAAGAAATTGAGCCCTGGCCTTGAGGGGAAAGTGGGAGAGAAGAAATAGTGGCTGGGAAAGTAGAAAGTGTGAAAAGGAGACACAGAATAGTTCTGCCTTGACACTGTTGTCTTTAGAAGAGGATATTGAAGGTTCTGAACAGGCTTTCAAAATTCTTTTAATATAGCCTACAACAATAAAGGAGAATTTTTGGAATCTTGGTGGTATTTGTTGCTTGATTTGGCCTTCCTCAAAGGGATGACAGGCATCATGATTTGTCAGTCCTCCCAAAGGCCCTCTGGAAGGGCCACATTTTCATCATCTTCTGAAAGGCTATGAAGGTGGGGACCATATGGTTCCAGGAAGCAAGCTGCTCCAGAGAGGAGGAGCCACTATAGAGTATGTGCACCACTGGGCCCTTATTTCCATTCTTCCCAGTAGAAGGACCATCAGGAGGTACTTCCAAGTTGTTTGGGTAGGATAGGAGAAAACTGTTGTGGAAAGCTAATGTAGGAGGTGACCAGGCTGAGCCCGAGGGAGCGATCAAACAGGTTATTAGTCTCAAGTACCTTTGTGCTCACAAGCGATCTAAATCCAGCCTACTTTGAATTCCATTGACTCTTATCTACCACCAACTTTGACCATTAGTAGTTCAGATTCTTGTAGAGTTTCAGCATACAACAGCTCTATATCTATGCATCTGAACTGCCTGGACTTCTGTTTTCCTATGTTTGACAGGTGACCTCCAAGATACTCAAGACCCTGAGCCATTAGCCTGGAATATACCTAATTGTACTCCTTAAAATGACCATTCTCCCCCACCACTTCTCTGTCTTCTAAATATAACGCCCAGAGTACCTTTTGAAAAGTCAAGAATCTTAAAATCCATTTACAACTATTAACTGAGTGCAATATAATATGCAGAATCTCATGTTCCAGAAGTAGCTAATTACTAGAAGCAGGGCTCTCCTTAATGAGTGATAATGAAAAGCTGACAAAAGATCTGCATAAGGGCTATATTTAGTTAAATTGCTAGCTAGTTATTCCGGGCACCCCACCTCCTTTTCATTCACTGATCATCATGGATATTACACGTGGCTTATAAATGCAGTTTCTTTTGGGTCCTGCTTGATTCCAGTGACTTCATCAACCCGTGTGTGACATTCTCTTGGCCATGAAATTGGAAGGACTGAGAAGAAACCCAGTTCATAAGCCTAAGGGGAAGGGGAAGAGATTTACAACAAGAGGCTAGAAAGTGAGCAGCATTTTTAAAGCCAGCTGCAGAAAACCAAAAAAAAAATAGTCTCCAGAGATCCCTTCAATTGCTAATGATTTCACTAAATAACTTTCTTAGGATGAAGGGGGACAATGACGGACGATGACAAGCTGCCTCTATTCTGCTTGGGGCATATCTGGTGACCAGAGACCCTGGGGTAGACTTGCTAGGGTGAAAAGGCTTTTGTGGAGGAGGACTTAAAGACTTCTGTGGAAATGTTTGTGCAAACAGTACCATGATATTCTCAAGGCCAGCCTGGCCACTAACCCATTTCACACACTGAACTTTGGGCAGCAAATTCTGGATCCTCAGGCTCAAGTTTGTTGAACTGATACTCAAGGAAGAGGACCTAGGCTGCTAAACACGACACTTTAGCGGGAATGTCATATTATCCCCCAAAATATAGAGATCTATCCCTCCTGTATAATGATTGGCGGGCAACCAGACTTGGATGAAAACTGAGGAAACCTTTGTCGATGCTAATATAGTCTCCAGCTAATTAAGATGGTGTCCAGTTATGACTGATCTTCACTCCACCAAATACGTTTTGTAGATAGGGGGTACAAATGACCAGACTTATCCCTTTGTATCTCAAAATCACCATGGAACCTCAACATGAGGATGCATTCCCCATCTTAAGGTCTACCTGGAAGTCACATAGTGGATCTTATTCCATTAAAAAGTAAATGCATGGCTGCTACTACAGACCATTCCTTGGCTCATTGCTCTGACCATGCCTTCTCCTGACTTTATATCACTTACTCTAGAGACCTCTTTACATTCTCTCCTCATCTGGCTTTTTATATACCTCTGCTTTGCCAGCCTTAAGCCTCAATCAATCTTCCTACTAAATAGTCCAGATATACCTCTGCTTTGCCAGCCTTAAGCCTCAATCAATCTTCCTACTAAATAGTCCAGATATACCTCTGCTTTGCCAGCCTTAAGCCTCAATCAATCTTCCTAC